AGAACCGGCCGCCCCGCGTGTGCCCCGGGTGCTGCGGCAACTTCCTGCTGGCCAACGTCGAGGCGCACCTCAAGGAGGCCTGTCTGCACTTCTCCCGGCGCGTGGGCTACAGGTAGGGAGCTCCGGATCCGCCTCCCGGGAGCGGGATGGGTGCCCGGGAGAAGGGAGCGCCCTTCCGGAGGCGCCGCCGCGCTCCCGCTCTGCTCCCTCTCCAGGTGCCCCAGCTGCGCCGTGGTGTTCGGCGGCGTCAACTCCATCAAGTCGCACATCCAGACGTCGCACTGCGAGGTGTTCCACAAGTGCCCCATCTGCCCCATGGCGTTCAAGTCGGCGCCCAGCGCCCACGCGCACGTCTACACGCAGCACCCCGGCTTCAGCAACCAGCAGTCCAAGTAAGGGCTCCGGGGCTTCCCGGCGGAGCGCGGCCTCCTTGGGGGGTTCTCCTGGGAAATGAGGGCACTGGAGCAGCGCTCTTATTGGGAGAGCTGGGCCTTTGAACCTGGAAAAAAGAACACTCTGGATCTGGAGAGCAGCTCTGCAGAGGGACCTGGGCGCCGTGGTGGGTGACAAGGTGACCATGGGGCAGCAGGTGCCCTCGTGGCCAGGAAGGCCAATGGGATCCTGGGCTGCGTTAAGGAGAGCGTCTGCAGCAGGTCCAGGGAGGGGATCCTGCCCCTCTGCTCAGCCCTGCTGAGGCCACATCTGCAGGATTGTGTCCAGTTCTGGGCTCCACAGGACAAGAGGGATGTGGAGCTGCTGGAGAGAGGCCAGCGCAGGGCTCCGAGGATGAGGAGGGGCCTGGAACATCTGCCCTGTGAGGAGAGGCTGAGGGAGCTGGGCCTGTTCAGCTGGAGAAGAGAAGGCTGAGAGGGGACCTGAGCAGTGTCTAGAAGTACCTCAAGGGAGGCCGTGAGGAGGATGGGGCGGCCTCTTTGCACTGGTGGCCACCGACACAACTAGAGGAAACGGCCCCAAACGGAAGCACCAAAAGTTCCACAGGAACTTCAGGAAAAATCCCTTCCCAGTGAGGGTGCCAGAGCCCTGGAACAGGCTGCCCAGAGAGGTTGTGGAGTCTCCTTCTCTGGAGATCTTCAAACCCGCTTGGCCGCAGCCCTGTGCCACGTGCTCTAGGTGACCCTGCGTGTGCAGGGGCTGGGCTGGATGATCCCTAGAGGTTCCTTCCATCCTTAACCATTCCATGATTCTATGATTCTATGACAACGGGTCGGGTTGTGGAGTCTCCATCTGGGCGGCCGTGCCCACACAGGGGACAGGGACCGGGCGACGTCCCTTCGCTCAGGGGGACCCTCCGGGGGTTCCTCGTTCCGGCCGCGGGTCCTGCTGACGTGGCTTTCCCTTCCCGGCTCCCGCAGGATGATTTACAAGTGTGCCATGTGCGACACGGTGTTCACCCACAAGCCCCTGCTCTCCTCCCACTTCGACCAGCATCTCCTCAACCAGCGGGTCAGCGTCTTCAAGTGTCCCGACTGCCCCTTGCTCTTCGCCCAGAAACGCACCATGTTGGAGCACCTCAAGGTGACACTGCGGCACCCGCCTCTCTCTTGGGTTCCTCTTCCCACCCTTGAAGAACCCAAGGGGATTTGGGGAGCCAGGGCTGCCAGGGGGGTTGTGCTGGGAAAACCCGGATCAACATCCAACTCTTGTCTTTCCAGAACACTCATCAGCCGCAGAAGCCCAAGGAAGACCTGGTGAAGAAAGCGGCCGTCCTGCTCACGCCGAAGCAGGAGCCCGTGGAAACGCCCGTGTCCAAGATGTCCGAGGATTCCTCGTCCTCCACGGAGGAGGACGAGCCCCCCAGCTCCCCGGAGCTGCGCAAGACCAAGCGCAGCCGCTTCCAGCGCCAGACGGA